TTGTTTTTATCTATCATGAAGTTACTTTCAAGTAATTCTTTAACTATTTAAGCGAAATCCACAGATATTTCAGATGCAGATCCCACAGGCTGATGAAATACGGACATGTGTGTCAGCAATAATCTCTAGTTCTTTTCAACCTCAGTATAAACTTCTATGTTAGCATCCCAATAACTGATGTGCTTTCGAACTGAAAATGCAAACAATACATTACCAGGTGTAACAATTAATGTTACAGGGAGCTCACAAGAAAATTTTATGTTAGAAACTTTCTTCACGTATATCTTAACTCGATAAGTCTGACTATGACACAAGTTGGCTACTTCATACGTGTTCGATGTGTTTTTAGCAAAAGGCCATGTAATCAGCCATAAACAATTTGTATTATTAAGTTTTCTAACAACTGGGCGTTGTCCAAAATGCACCCAGTGTTCTGACGAAAACGCCACCATTAACTTCTTCTGTATTGCTTTCTGTGAGCACACACATAATTTAAGGTCAACATCATTATCGGCGCACTCTGCGTATTTTCCAAATAATGTCAGACGGTCAAAAGAGACCAAGGTCATTTGTAAAGAATTTTCTCCTAACATTTCCCTTGTCATTACTTCCACATGAAATATGTCTTCCCTTTGAGGAACAACATCTCCTGCTTTAACTCGAATATCCATCGAAGTGATCAGAGATCTGTCTTTTGTCGAGCTTCTTTCTCGAATATTTTCAAACCATAACGGTTGCAATCTTTGACAGGATCGTTCATAAATGTTCTGTATTTGATTTTCCAAGCGATTGTTCAACTGACCCATCGCGAACTCAGCGATAGGAATACGTGAAGTGTCATTATTTGCTGGTACATCCCAACCCTCACACACGCACAAGTTTGGCAGCCTTAGTTCCAAAGCATCACACGTACGGTTCATAGCGATGGGTGAAAACAACCCCTTTAGCTTAACATTTCCGGATAGGGGGTTGACCAACACCATTAGAGAATGGTGTAACTCTATCATGGTGACAAGCCTCCGTTGGTTCTCTCCTAGAGCAGACATTGCTTTCCTCCCTAAGAGCGCCGCTACTCTGTCAGGAACAATGATGAATAGGGACGGATGGAACATCTCAAAGCGCCCCTCCAACAATTCTGAACTGTATCTCGTATATGTGTTTCCATGATCCGCCAGAATGACTGTTAAAGTGTTCTGCTCCTTCGCCACGGCCCTCACGTAATTCTCCATACTGATATCCAGGGTTTGCGTGCGGATACTTCTGTGATCGTGGGCAACGTTGAGTGAAGTGTGAGAGAAAAGTGGGCGAGCGTCACGTGACTTGCCGATAGCGTGAAGTGTGTCAGTTGTGTAACGAAGAAAGTAAGAGTGTTGAAACTTTCCATTATAGCAGATTTGGTCCCCATAAGGCCCATTAAAGGGAGTTGTTACTCCCAATGATGAAAGGATTTTACAACTGGAATGCGTCAGGCCTTAAACAAAACCACAGCAAAATATCATGTCAGAAAAAAAACTAAATCTCTCACCTAGCGAGTCGGTTCCTTTAATCACTCCCACCAAAAAAGGTTTGAAAACCGCGAAGAGAGCCAGTGAATACAATATGACTGACATTTATTTGTGTAAATTGTTTTATGCTTTATCCAAACCTACCCGTGTGATCTATGAAGGTATTTTTCATCTTGTCTTGGAGGTCACTCCATTGCCTTACTCCATGATCAACCATTAGTCCCCAGATCCCTTTCCAACACAAATCTTCTTGATACATTGTATGGTACCCAGCTCTCTTATAATGCCCAAACATCGCAGACATATTGACTGGCGGCGTTGTACCTTTTAATTCAATCGGGAAGACATTTCCAGTGAAGAGTGCTTGCGTGTTTTCAGCAGTGTGACCGTGTAGGGCCTGAAAAAGTTCAAAGTCAAAGACATTTGCGGGAACCGAATCTGGGTTTTCTCGCCAGTTTTGAAATGTTGCGATTGTTCTTGGTAAAGATCGGTAAAAATGAGCTCTAGAAACAGAATCTATGAGGAGGACGACCACATTGATGTGATTTTTATTTCTCACAGTTTCTGTTTTCTCGATGGTGAAATCGGGGTCAACCGCAAGGAATTGTGACACTCCCTCACCTTGGTGGTTTGTACATTCGATAAAAACAAAGTTCAATTTATTTTGCGTATTTCTTCTTACAATGTTCGGTAGTCCTCTTTCAAGTGTCTTCACTGAGTGAAATTCATTTACAATGGTCGCCAATCCGGTTCCGGGATCCACACTTAGAACTTTGAAAGAATCTCTTTTTCCTTCCCGACATACCGTTTGACTGCAGGTAAAGGAAATCTTGCTTTCCTTCTTAGTTCTGGTGATTTTCATTTTGCAAACATCCCCAGCACCTTTCTCTTTACATTCCAATAGTTCAGGTTTTATGGCGTAAAGTTCTCGAGTAAACATACAGGAAGCTTCACTCGGTTTGTGAGGTTGACATAAACCATATGTGGCTCTTACATTGGATTGTAGAGACAACATTGGGCAAATTGAAGGTGACTCTGTTGTATTTGTAAAATTCTCCGAATAAATGTTGTAATTCCACTGTATCCCATTCCCAAAAAGGTACCAGTTTAGTATTAGTAAAGAAAGAGTCACCAAGGCCACCATCTGCAGAATATTCCCGGGTGATTTTTTGCAAGCAATCATGTTGGACTTCAGCATGGTTCTTCATCTACCTTTCTGCTACCGGAAAACAAATTATGAAAACAGAGTTATCAATAGCGATATTTCTGTCACAAAGAAGGTTTTTTATCACCTTTTTAGAAACAAAGAAATTAAAAAATGAATTTGAAAGGTAAAAAAAATTGCAGCATCATCCTGATAATATATAGCACATTTCTTGCCCGAACTTCGTCTTTACCAAAACCACGAGGGCAAAATAAATGACGAATCGTACGACTTCTCCTGCATTTTTCTTATTTTGATTGACTCATTGCTAAATGCTTGATCACAGTTATAATTTAATTTCAGTTGGTTATGAGTATCAAGTCACTGTAACTAACAAAAGGATTTATTTTTGAACTTTGGGCGATAGTATCTTTCATGTCCAGCCTCACCTCAAAACCCACAAAAATAGAAGTTGTACGGCAACGCAAAATGAGTTTCATTTCTGCAATTTTCATTTCAACAACTTTCCTTAGCCACCTCGAGGTAAAATCAACTAGACTTTTAAAGTATGATGACGCACCTGACTAGTCAGATGCATTTTCCGTTTCCCTTTCCCTATGAAATGAGTAAAAACTAACAGGAGACTTTTCAATTAATTGATTGTAGAACAATTTGAACTTCATCAAGCCATTGAAGAAGATGAAGATACAGACGCATTTCTCTTTGTTGAGTTGTGACTCGTCCCAAGTTTCTTCAACAATATTGACCTGAAACTCAAAGAAAAAAAGAAAAAAATCCACTCAGGTCCTAAATATTCGTTTCTAGCCAAAGCCATAAAACTGATGATTAAACAGCTGTCTCATAAACTGAATTAATTAGCATTTCTATTACATCCAAGTGGATTGCTTCTCGTGTTCTGCTTAAACTCGCCGTTTGATTTGACTCAACGTCCTCAAGTGCTGAGAACTGAGTTATTATTACATCTATTATTATTATTATTGTTTTCTTTTCTACTAAAGGGGCAACATCATATTCTCTTTTTCTTTCCAGCTGAGATGAAACTGATACTCGAATGCAACAAAATGTTCGGGGGCGAAGGTGAATTATTACTCACAATATTATGCTATAATGAAATGGTTTACCATTGAAATCAGTCGAAAGCTTGCTCATCATTTTCTCAGAAACATAAGATATTCAAATTCAGTGCCAAACATTTTGCCAGAAACAGTCAAATTGCAAAAAGTGCTCAATTTACTTTTTTTTACTTAAGTCGCCGATATCAGATTTAAGGTACAAACCGAGATTAATGGTAACTTACCTTATTAATTGATAAAAATTGCAAGAATCCTTGACTCCAATCATAAGCGATCGTTCTCTACGCAGGTTTGGCTGCTGCTTGCGATATTGGAAAGAGAGCAAATGCAAATTACTTTTAGTCACCGCTGAACAATTGAACAAAAAGTGGTAGACTTAGAAAGATTGCTTAATTTGCACTAAGTGTAAATACAAGAGGACTTTTCGACCCTAATAGATGCAAATGATATGAAAGATGCTTACTGAGTCGTAATTCTGACACTGGAGGACGTAAAAAAATATTTTTTTCTTTCATGCAGTCTACAAACAGCGGCTTTTTCTTTTATCTCCCAAATTGCAGAGGATTTGTCACCCTACAAGGTTTCCTTTACGCCATTAGCAGCAGCTGAAAAGCTGTGCAAAGTTTCTGCCAGCACTTGACAATTTCTTGCTGTCGGGTTCAAATTGCCGATTGAATTCTAAATGACAGAGTCGTACATAAAATTCCCCATGAAATCTTGATATTTTTCTCAGAAAATTAATCGGTCGATATTCTTGTATATTTTTATAGTAATGGTGGTAAACTAATGATAGTAACACTTTCGCCTTATTTATTGGCTTTATCAGAGCTATGTCCCGAGAAATACAACACTTCCATGAGACTTTGATAACTTTATTGTAAACGATGTTTGATAAAACCAGAAAAAGGTCATTGTTTATCGTAGTTCCCTTCCCCTGTCTTTATCCGTAAGACTCACAACGCAGAGAAAACTGATCAATCTTTTCACATGGCCTTTTGTTGCTAAGTCACCAGTCAATGAGAGTGGAATTTCAAAATGATAAGCATTATGAAGCTCTTTAATTATCTTAACAAAACGAAACCAAGTGAAGGAAAAAGACACCTTGCATCGGTAGACTGAACGATAAGGTATGTAGAAAATTCTCTTACCGAACATACAGAATACTTTGTTGTACAGTGATCAAGTGTCAAGTTGTATCAAACTATTTCAATGGTTCCCCTGCATTTTCCTTTGCAGTACAAAAATCAATTGAACGCGCGAGAGAAATTATGAGGACCGAAAATGGGAGGAGCTTGGAAAATTTTACTCATTACCGTAACCACTAGGACTCACTAATACAATGTAAAAACTTTTATTTGTTTCTCATGAATTGTTAGCAGGGGAAACCGTGGGATGCTTCTAAACCTGCTGGAATATTTTTACAATTTTGACAATCATTTTGATTTTACGTCCCAGACAATTTTGGAATTTTCCTCTTGGCTATGTATATTTACATCTAGGATTAATGATCTATCAAATCTGATGAAACTGACAAAGCATTTCGTTTGATCACAAAGAAATGCCAATATTCACAAGCATATCAATAATCAAAGATTTAACAGAGGGAATCAAGTTATTCAAGGATAAAAATAGGAAAAAATATTCACTCGTGATTGATGAAAAGATTTTGTGAACTGAAAGCAATCGGCAATCATTGTTACCGAGGAAAATTGAAAAAATGAAAAAGGCGAGACCGAGAATGGAAATCATCGCAAAATCAAATTTTAGTTCACGCAAGATTTTGTGTGAAAATATATTATCTCAACAGCCACATTTCATTTCAACTCTATTCTGGTGTAAGTGTTCAACCGGCAGTATTTATACCAACAGAATGTATGATTTATCCATCGGCCCCGTCCAGGCGAACATCGTTAGAAACGAAGTAGAGAAACAACTTGTTTCTAAATTAATTTTCGACGGTACAATTAAGTTTTATTTCCGTTAAGTGGATGATTAACTTGTTTTTCATTAAAGTTCTGATGTTCACCAAGGTCTGAATAAGCCTAAATCTCATTATAAGAACTTACGGTTTACTGTAGCCGGAGATACTTTTGCTTACCAGGAAGTACATCTTTAGATCTCATCTGACCGACTTCTCCCATAAAGAAACTCACACAGGTCAGTGTACTATATTTCCTTGCCTTACACCGTGGCGTATGGAAACCGCTTCAAAAATTGGTAGCAATTCCAAACAAGAGGATATAAACTGAAATTAATTTTCTTCAAATCACTCCAGAACCAAGTCACAAAAATAGACACATTTCAATCCTGGAATGGACTCTCTGAGATAATTCGTTGTTCCATTTTCAGTCGCCTTAACACTAATATAACCTTGACTTCCGCCGCTCTCTCGTGTCCGATCTTTGCCCCTCCGAGAGAAGAGTGGGTTCGGTGGAGAGGGTTGGGAAGGAGCACGGGCTCCTATTCCCGAACAGCGGCTGGTAATCGGTATGAAAACGTGCGAAACTGAAGGAGTAGCGGACGAAAAAAAACTATAACAAACTGAACAAAAAACACTAACCAGGAGGTATGAGATAAGAAAAGTAAACCAAACCAAAACTACTTACACTTAGTTTGTCATGATTTCCATTCTCGGCCTCACGTTTTTCCTTATTCAGTATTCAAAATGTCGTATGGTTTGGGTTTTGAGTAAACATCAATCTTATACAATACGGCTATCTAATTAATTGATACTTGATCAGGAGTACAGGAAAATACTTCCTGGTATTTTAATCAACATTTGATATGTCATTTTAATTCCTTTACCATAAAAAACTGCTTTGTTAGGTTGGGGGCGAGTACAGTCTTTTAACTTAGTTTGGCAGGATTCGCGAAAGTTAGGGATAAACGATGCCACAGTAAGAAAGAATCAATTAAATCCTTGATTTTCAAAATAATAAATAATCCCAGTCAGCCATGACACCTCCCCTAGAGTCATCCAATTTACATCAAAGACCATTAAACACATCATCAAGGCTCTCTAGCCTAATTGTTTCCGATGTCTTGTGTCGATGATCTAAAATTGTCAAGAATTACGACTTTCCTCGTTAATAACTTTTTACTTTTGACAACCGAGGACCGCAGATAACCAAAAATCCCCTTATTAAACAAAGATCTGTCAATTATTCATTAAGTCCGATCATAAGTTTATCGACTTCGATAAGGAACTTATTCAAGACAGGCTAACTGGGAGCGCAAGAGAGGTTAAATACTCATCAGAGAACAATAAATTCTTTATAGCACAAGAAAATGTAAATATCTAAACAGCATTATCTTACTGCAGCTCACACATTGAACACGTCAATAAGTTTAATAGTCTAAAATGCGGAAAAATCATTTATGTCCCTTTATTTGAGTCATGGAATATCTCAAAGTATCACGCGACAACAAATCCGGCTTTTATCCTACGTATGACAGCATAATAAGTTGGAGCGGTCTGGCAGACAAATAGTTTTTGAATATTTGAAACATGACGAAGGGCCGTATTTGTACACATCTGAGCGCGAGAAATTTCTTTCGACTATAACAGCTCTAACGAAAACTAAATGAGTTACAAATGATCTTCAAACATTTGAGATCGTTATGAGACGCTATCAGTTTCTGGATAGAACTTTTAGAGGGGAAAGTACCGTACTTGAGAGCTCAGTAAGAGGCTTATGAAAGTTTGTGGTGTAGAATTTCCGAGTCAGATTCAAGTGGATTAAAAGATATCCTACATGCTTGGGTCGACACGCAAACACGGTCAGAAATCATCCGCCAGTGATAATTACAGCTAAAACACGGTATTTGGGCACATTCTCGGGTCACTACACAGAGTAAATCACATGTGACTCTAATGATTTAGTCTTTGGGTTCGGCGACTTGCGGCAAAGGAAGTAATTCAACTTGTAATCTTCGCTTGATAATTTCCCTTTCTCAGATCAGGTTAGTTACATTACTATACAGATAGTCGATTCGGTTTTAGTCACGGACGCAGCGGAATCTAACAGAATGCCATCGCAACGTTAATCATCTGTCTCAATTACGAGCGTGTCTTCGTTGTGGAGACAATCGACACATTCAGTTTAGGCTTTACTTTTGCGTAGTCGATGTCCGGCTAAGCTTTTTCCCTGTATACATTTTCAATCGAAGGTCACTTTTTCAGTTTACAGATATTCTACAAACAATTTGAATATGTGGTTAATTGTCGATATCTGGCAGAGCGATTGAAACGGTGATGAAAACTGCTCTTATGATATCCAGGTTTCCGTCCCCATCACAATTATACTGATCCTGCTAGCTTGGAATAATGACAAACATTTTATTCGGTAACGTCTCGCTTCGAATAATTGCTAAGGACAAAGACTTATTTCATATTCAATTTATTTGTGGAAGGACTTCATTATGGAAGTAGAAACTTTGAAATAATCAGAAAGTTAAAACAGTTTTTCATCTCAATACCCAGCAATTTATATGGGAGGGTCTATGGAGTATTTATCAGGTCCTTTCTGAGTCAAACGAAATTCTCTCTCTTGATTTACTAATGGTTCTCTCTGGTTGATCAACCGAATACCGTTTTACTCTCAATGATAATACGACTTGACCGCAATAGTTTGTGCCAGTGGTCTTCAGTAACTATTTCTTTGCTCAACATTGTTATAAATTTCGAATCATTTTATCTGGTACAGGCTTCAAGCCTTGCTTATCACATCTGGATTTCTTAATAGAACTTATCAAAAGTTAAATTTGTCAAATTATTTAACATGACAGTGCGTGTGACAAAGTCCTTAACATCAAAACAATTGTTCTTATCCACTTGAGACTGTCTATTGCCTTCTTTGTTGATGTTATCGAATCATATATTTTAGGAGTTGGACACGAATGATTGAGGGCTGACCACTGACAGATTGTATTGTTAGATGTCACCATTATAGCGTTTAGTTCACACAAAATACTGAGCTTTCTCACGAATGGATTTCACTTTGTGTTGTTATCGCACATGAGAGACTATGGATTTTGTGAAGAACTCTATCAGATGTTTGTTTATGGGCATAAAACGTGGGAGGCGAAAAATCTTGGTTTATGTCCTAATTATCGTCACTATATGGCACTTCTATCTCGCCTGCACTGGACTTATCTTCGGCAATGACATCCAACTTATGCGAAAACCAGAAATCGTACGTGCTAATTCAAGATTCTCTAGATTAAGAGGAAGAATATTTGGAAATGGCCCCAAAAATCGTCACGAGGAGCTAATGGTTGTAAGTTTTGAAAACGGAAAACTTCATGAACGTCAAAACTACGCATATAAATCTGTGGAATTATATTCTGAAATTCTTAAACAAAGAGATGCAGAAAGATATAGTGACGACAGAGAACGTTTTTCAGATTCAAATTCCCAGAAAAATAACACCTATGCAACAGACAGGAAGAACTCGTGCAAGGAGTTAAATCTACCGAACACAGACAAGATTCCTTACGGGACTTGTCAGCCTCATCAAGCCTCTATGGATGCATGTGAATTTGCAGATTCCTTGTTCCGTTATGACCCTTCCTTGTCTCTCTGTAAGACAAACAACGCTGAGATTTGTACACTGGAATCTGATGCTCATAATGGAAGGAAAATACTTAAAGCCAAGTGCAGTAGTCGAGTTTGTGAAGAGGTCGTAAACAAAAGCGAGAAAAACTCTTTGACTTACGGTGCGTACATTATAGATCCCAATGAAGGTCTTCTGGAATTGCTTGGGGAATTTGAAACTGTCTCAGAGCTGGAGATTCAACTTCCCCGCATTGCCTATTTGACTGCTAGAAAGAAATTCAACTTTTTATTCGTAAAATGCTTCATGATGTCGAGCAACAAGAGTCTGGTGTCGCAACTCATTACAGTTCCCCCGCAGGCGACAATACAAGAGGCCTTTGAACCGCGACAAAGAAATAGCATCAACATAAATATTGTTCTGTTAGATTCCGTCTCTAGATCACATTTTTATCGTTCTCTCCCCAAAACAATTGAGATATTCAGGAAATTGGCGGGAAGACGAGACAACCCCCAAGCAAGAGTGTTTGATTTCGAGTTATTTCAAGCTGTTCATGGCCACACCACGCAAAATGAACACGCGCTGTTCACGGGCCAGCTGCTTCCATCAAAAGAACAGGACGAACAAGAGCCTTCCGACCCAGTGCGCGCGGATGTGATGTTTGGACACTTCAAAAGGGCTGGGTATCAGACCTTGTGGCAAGAAGACCTCTGCTGGTGGGGAATGTGGGGATTAATGGCCGACTTGGTCGCGGAAGACTGGGAGGACCTACAGATTAAACTGAGTGAAAACTTTATCGACAGCACAGGTAAACATCACTAAAAAAATTATAATTATTATAAAACAGCTCTGGATAGGACAATTATTGTGGAACAGAAACTAAATTTTTGGCTTCCTTTCTTTGTTTTGTCTACTTTTGCCACAGTCGTCGTAGCTTTATGAGCTGAACTGTAAGTTTTTTAACTGGGGATGGACTCAAGGGTTAACTGATAAAGGGAAGGACAGGGGGGGGGGGGAGGAGAGATGACAAAGCGTGCGTATGCGTGTGTGTGTGTGTGACACAGTATGTGCTTTCTTAGCCCTCTATCTACATCAGAGTATCAAGTAAGTTTCATTCAAATGAGAGAGTTTCCCTACTACTTTAAGGTTTGACGCACTCCAGTTGTGAGGTGTTAGGCTCTTTTGGTCTGGAAACACCATTCAATGGACCCGAAGGGGATCAGATCTGCTTCAACGGCAAGCTACAACACAGCTATTTTCTCCAATATTTAATAGACATATCGAATACCATAGCGTCATCAAGGAAATCCCGTCCGCTGTTCTCGTATACTGCTCTGAATGTTGGACATGATGAAACAGGACGCAGGATTCAATCTTTGGATTCTGACCTGGCTCGCTTTGTTTCTGTCATGGCAAACACTCAAAATACCCTTACAATTGTGTTAGCAGATCATGGAAATACCTACACACAGTACACGTCTGATGTCCTGGAAGGACGCTTTGAAATGTTCCATCCAAGCTTGTTTATGATTGTACCAAACAAAGTTGCTAGACTTCTGGGACCAAGCGCCATGGCTGCGCTTGAAGTCAATCAACGAAGACTGGTGACCATGTTCAGCTTACACCATTCCCTTCTGCTGCTAGCTCGGCCGCTGAAGAGATTGGTAAAACCTTTTGGGTTATTTACTGCCATATCACCCAATTTAACATGCAACGATATCGAACTGAGGACACCCAATTTATGTGTATGCAATGGTTGGGACAGCCCCACCACCAACGACTCCTCAAGGATTTCTCTTGTGGAGTTCGCCGTCGGTGAACTTAATAACATGTTACAAGCTGAATTCACTGAACCTACAAATGGAAAGGTACAAGCGTATTCCATGTTACGCTCTTGTGAGAGACTACGTCCTGTGAGGTTTCAAAACGTGCGGGAACGCAACTCAAAATTAGACGGAGGACTGATCACGAGTTTTGACATTTACTTACGGTCTGGTGACGTTGTTAAACGTAGAGAAGATATATTCCACGTGGAAGTGAAGCACAAGGAAATGGCAGATCAGTACTCAATGCAGATGGAGCTTATTAATTATGATCGACTAACCCTATTTGGAAAGTACCGAGCATGCGCAGATGAAGGGGTTCATCTAAAACTTTGCATTTGTTCCCATAGACGGAAGGAAAAGTTGACAGAACTAGAGAGTGTTCCTTGGTTAGAATACTCTACAATTTTGTTAAGTTCCCCAAAAACCAGGAAAGTTGGTGACAACGATTGTTTGGTCCTGTTAATGAGAAACCATAGCCTGGGGCAAAGTGTGGCTTTTGAAATTGCCAACATTTGTAATACAGATATATTTGACTTGAGGATATCGGCGAACTTTGAAAATATGAAGCTCTCCAGACAAGTTCCATTTGAAGTAAAAGTTCTGCCTGGAAGCATTAAATTCTTGTTATCGGCCCGGATAGCGGTTGATTTCTGGAGCACATTCATAGAAGTTGACGTGGATATAAATAACAAAGGAGAAAGTTATCCATGATCATGAATGCTGGTTTTGGAATTTTCTCCCAGATCAGTTCCTTAAACGATTTGGATGAACTGCGAGTGCTAGTATCGCTCTATGCTCGAGTATCACGGGAATGGCATTACAATGCGGCCATTTTAATTCCCCAAGAATAAAGAATTTCGTCACCCGTCCAAATTCACGTGGTTAGACAGACAGGGACAGTGTTCTATTAAAATCAGTATCTGATTAGCCTAGTGAGTGGTTCGAGACATCTGAATCAATCACAGAGCTTATTGAAGCAAAGCCAAGACAAGCAATGAACAGTCACGACACTCAGTCCAAACTCGCAAACTCGACAACTGCGTTACGGGCCTACACGTGTTGGAATTTTCCAAAACCTTTCACACAAATTGTCTTTGTTCAGAATGGATCTCAGGACACGTTCAGTTAACGTCTGTTTGACTTTGCAGCATTCGTAGTATTCCCTAAGGTCTTATTTTAGGACTTACTATTTCAAAAGTAATTTTAATAAATCACTAACGTACGGTATTACATGCGGGGTAAGTGGTTCCTTTAGGAAATTATGTATGGGTGGGTTGGAGATCTCTGAATATTTAAAATGTGAAGAAAAATTGACCAAGATTTTCTATTTATGAGACAAAATCGTGCCTTTGCATTAAAGGTAAACATTCATTCATCGTTGAGTACCCCTATTAAGTTCAAAGCTCGTAATAAAATTGACCGTTTTAAACTTACGTAAATATTTTTGACCTAGCCTCTCCACCTTCGAAAGAGAACAAAGCTTTGTACTTTTTAACTAACTTCAACATGCACTTACGCTTTTCGAAAATTGCTTCTTAAGTCAGGAAAAAACCGGAAACATTGCTTAGCTTAACAAGGCCGCCATCAGAGAAGAGGGGAAAACTGAGAGGGCAAGGGACTTAATTTGTTCACTAGAGTCGCGTGATGCATCACAGTACCCGGTTGTCAAGAAAGTTGCGATAATTTGGACAAATAGAAAGCGACCACGAGTCTATAATGCAGGCAATAGCAGCAGAGCAAGTAATCGCTGGACGCTTTGAATTTATTGAAGAACAAATTCTACAAGTATATATTGAGATTAAAAAAAGGATTATATTACAATGATCTGACCTCGCGTACATCTCGGTAACCGTGCGTTGCAACTTAAGAAATTTTCTGCCAGCCGAAGAACAAACACAAAACATTTACGATGACCACTATTGGCTTATCCCATCAGAGGCACAAGACAATGGACCAATCATGAGCCAGCTTAATCATTTACAGGTGATTCGTGATTGACTTGATTCATTTCTGATTGGTTGCATATGTTAAGTGATCTGTCCAAAGACTTGGACCTGATTGTTTGGAAAACATTTCATCAGGCAGTTGTTGAAAATCACTCAAATGCAATGAAAGTTGTAAAGGCAATTATACCAAATGGCTGAGAAAGGTGAGTTACACTGAACACTTAATCCGAGGAGTCTGAATCAGATTCTTTGACTTTTTCTTTCTCTTTCTCTTTCTTCTTTTTCTTTTTCTTCTTCTTTTCTTTCTTTTCCTACAAAAGATAGAATAATTAGCACGGAGTGGTTCACGTTTGAGCCAATAAAACAGTCCTTTATGAGGAACTTACTTCATCACTGCTCTCTTTCTCTTTTGATTTCTTTTTGTCTTTTTTGGACTTCTTTTTCTCCTTTCCTGGAGTTTCCTTCTCTTCATCACTACCCTCTGTGTCTCTTTTCCTCTGTGTATTAGAAAAGTATCGAAAGTAAACAAACAAGAAACTAAATATTGAGGACATACTGTATTATAATTGGACACACTTGGATAACGAGAAAGCAGACCTTGAAGTATTCAAATAACAAGGCGCATATAGAGTTGTGATCAATTTCTAGACCAGTTGGGTTTGTAATCACTCTTTATTTAGACAGTTAATTGAATCCATTGTCTGATTCTTTTAGCCTGCACACTACTTATCATTGCAACACACCTTTTTCCCTTCCTCAACTTCCTTGGGTGTCACAGGAGCACCAGGCATGGGTTCTTCCTTAGGTGTCCTAGGTAAACCAGCAGATTGTTCATCCTTCACTGGAGTTTTATCCACACTAAAGGCAAACAACTGATTAGAAAGAGTAAAGGAGTGATGGGAGAGTATAACAGTGTAATTTGGTATTATAAAATGAGTTGATAATGTAAATTGGCCACTCTTTACCATGGCCAATTTATGTAGTCAACTCATTTGATAATACTAAATTACCCTGATTAGAAAGAGGTTCAGTATTGAAGCCTGTGTTTAAATCCCCGTTCATGTAACACAAACCTGATATCTGGGTGACTTTGCATCCATTCTTTGGGTGTGCTTTCATTTGGTTTGCCATATTTGTCCAATTTACCAGATGCAATTAACTGTTTTTTCTGAAGTGCCTGGGTGGGAAAACATCAATAAGAGACTCACCAAAAACACCAGCAAGAAAATCAAGTAGAATGTTAAATTATTGCAACTCTGAGTGTTGAGGTCTGACTTCTTAACAGGCTGCAAGGCTCCAGAGAGAATGGTACACTGATATACAATAGCAGTATGTAACCAATAGCAAGTTTGTACCAACATTATTGCATTTGCTTAATTGAATCTTAAACAATATTGTTCTTGCATGGTTGAGCACATGTCACTTCCAAAAATTAACTCCCATGATGCAAAAAGTCTTAATTGTGTGTGTAACTCTACTGAGTGAGGTTTGATTTTGTCACACAGAGACTAAGATAAAAGAACAGAGTTAATGGAATAGCATGAGATAGAAATGGGCCATAAATATTGATTACACAACTCATACAAACAAAGCCATTGATGAGTCAAAAGAGAGGACCATAAACAGATCAGCAGAAGTCTGGTGTCTAAATAAGTTGGTCATACCTTTGGTCCCAGGCCCCATTTCCTGGGATAAGTGTCTCTTTCCATGATAACTCTTTTGATCTTAGCAACCACACCATGATCACAAGCTGCCATCACAGCTGTCGTCATAAGAGCAATCCCTGAAAAAGAAAATAGTTATATAAAGGAAAAATAGAAAACTTGACCTCCACATCACCTTGTTCTATGCAACTGGTAACATTAAAACTATGAAAAACAATGGCATTCAAATTATTAAAACGATCATACTATGTACCAGCAGACCCAGCTGTTTGATTTACTGACTGACTGTTCGCCTCTAACTGGTTAACTGGCTGGCTGACTGACTCACTGACAGACAGAATCACTGATTGACTGACAGACAGACTGACTGAATAACTGACTGACAGACTGACCAGCTGACTGACAAACAGACAGACTAACTGGCTGACCAATAGACTGACTTGCTGAAAGACAGACATAATGAACAACTGCCTAACAAAAAAACTGACTGACAAACCTTCTGACTGACTCAGTCACTCACCAACTGCCCTATTAACAGAGGAACACTCACCAAGAGCTATAGCTTCTCCTTTTGTTGTCATGATAACAATTTCTTCATTCATTTCTATTCCAGATTCATATCTCAATAGACCTGGGATCATCAATTTTGCTCCATAGCATATGGCATTTACCTAAATGTAGCAGAAAAAATACTACGTGAAAGAATTTACAAAACAACCTTTACCTATCAGCAACCTATTCACACACAAAATTTGAAAAGTGTCCTATTTATTCAAAGACTCTTCAAATAATAATGCAATTTTAACCACATCTCATATGACAAGCCTCCAACTTGATGTGGCCTTGGCAATACACTAAAAGCTGAGCTACATTGTATTAAAAATATGTTTGGAGCTTAGTGGGACTTCAGAACACACATTTTGTTCTCACTGCGAAAACCTTACAAAACAGTACTTACAGCACTATCTTTAACAACCAGACGCTTGTGAGAAGTTAGAAGGGCTTCTAATGGCTTGATGCAGCGGCGGAGATAGGATTCTGTGAAATAATATATTTTGTTTTTGACACTTAACTCTTGTTGTTCAAAACACTAGTATTTCTTGCATATCTTTCAACCAATCAACAGCAGCAACTTACCATCTTTGTAATTATCATACATCCACTGTGCATCAAGAACATCATGCATAGTGGCCATGTTATCCTGAAAAACACAAACCTTACTCTCACTACTATCTTCTTCATTTAAAGAAAAATAATAAATGTCATAACCTTGACATTAAAAATCCAAATGCAGCTGAAAGCAATAAAACATCAACAAGAAAGTTGTAAATTAAAAGTGTTCAGTGTGAATGTTAAAACATACATTAAGAGACTTACATTTTCAGACTGAATTCCTGAGCGCACCCTTCTGAGTTCCTGCATGTGAGCACCAATCCCCATTAACAATCCAATATGGACACAAAGTGTTCTTATGTAGGTCCCAGCCTCACAACTCACCCAAAACACTCCTGCAATGTTAAGATAAAGGCTTAAATTTTAAATCTTCATCTGTTCATGTACACCTCCCAGATACATACATGTATGTATATAGAGAAATGGAAGTGGAAGTGTTTTTGTGATTCAAAACAAGCACTTACCAAGATGCCGTTCTTGGTCAAACTCAATTAATTTACTTTCATATATTGTTCTTATTCTAAGCTGTCGTTTAACTGCAGATATCAGTGGAGGTCTCTGAAACAAGGCTCCTGTGAGCATCTCTATCGTCTGCAAACAAAACAAAGATGCTCACTTTAATCACCACTAATTTATTTCGATTTTTACATAAATGTTAAAAACATGCCTGTTTCCAAATGGGATGATACACATACAAGAAAATGGTTCAGTGGATTTTCATGGCTGGAGTCTCGTGTGTTTTACAGCAAAGAGGACTGATGGAATTGAAATTTTCATCTTAAATATCAACTGCAAAATCCTCAGGATAAAATTTAAATTCAATGTACCAACCTTTGCTAACTCTGATTCATTTTCAATTGCCTCATGGAGCCTCACAATGCAGACATACTCTTTTCCTTTGGGGCAAAGGAGAAACAGAATGTTTGTAAACATAAAGTTAAGTGTACCAGTACTCCAGCTAGTTCTGATTTTTGCACAATGATGCTCTTCCATTAAAAACATAGAGCTTAAGCAACATGGACCAGAATGAAAAAAAAGATTCATTGGTACCTGCACCCTGTTGTGATTTCACAAGTCTTGTTGCCCTTTCAATGCACACAATTAGACATCCTGTCACTTTTGGATCAAGAGTGCCACTATGCCCAGTTTTTTCCACTCGGAGAATTCTTCTTATCCATGCTACCACCTGATCAGAAAAAGACAAGCTCTAATCTTGATTGTGCATGACCATAGAGAGCCAATACCAGTTCATAACACCCATTCTCATGGCTGTCAAGGACATCACCTTCGTTAAATTTTTGGCTGGCTATTGTGTTGAGGCCTTTAATTCTTTGGTGAAAAATCAATAACCTAAGTTTACTATAAAAACTTCCTGAATCCTTGTACAATGGAAAATATTTGGCTGATAGTGACTAATCCAGGCTATACTTGCCAGGATTAAAGCTCTAGCAAGGAAAACTAGCATACAGTAACATATAAATACATTGAAGGAAAGAAGGAGGGAAGAAACCTAAACCATAATATTCTTTGTATCAAATATGCAATGTACCTCATGGGATGAGGGATTTGCTGGCTTGTCAAGATTTATAAACC